CCTACAAAATTATATATATATATATATATATATATATACAAATATCATAGCAGACTAAAAAGCTTCATAAAATACAGTGGACAATATATCATAGCATATCTCAAATATGCCTAAACAACTTAGTTTTCTCTGGAGGACAAGTTCATTTTAAAGGAAAAATAAGCATCGAGCTCAAATAAATTCATACACAATATTATTAGAGTTATATAACAAAATTCTATATATAATTCGAGTGTACTTTTATTTTCACAAGAAGCTGAAATAAACATTACATCGACCTCATTCCATATAAGTTAATGTCATCAAGCAAAAAATAACTTCAAAAAGGTCAAATATTTTTTATGGATTCTATTGATCTATTCTCTATCGCACATTGAAGCATCTCTTACAACTTCTTTTTCAAAAAAAATAGTACATCCTTAGTGGATTCTCTCAACTTCTTCCATATAGGCTAACATCATTGAGCAATTCTCTAATAAATTATCTCATATAGGTCATACATCGTTGGTGGAATCTCTTAACCTTTTCCACATAGGTTAAATGTAATTGAGCCACTCTCTTACAAACAACCTTGGATATGTTATACATTTTTGGTAAATTATCTTGATCTTTTTCATACAGGTTAACGTCATTGAGCAAAGCTCCGATAAACAATCTTAAATAAGTTAAATATCCTTTGTGGACCACACAATCATCGATTGCCACATTATTTCCTCTCGACTATCAATCAACAACATACTTTTGCCTAATCATCGATCAACATAAGTTTTTTGCCTGATTATCGATCATTGTCGCACTTTCACCTAGCCATCAACTACTGACAATTTTTTTCTCAAACATCATCAAAAAAAATTCACCATCTACTAACAATCACTGACTCTCTTCCCGGGTGTTAATATCACCAGATCTTCTTAAATCACCCTCTCATGCAAGAGGTAATTGATCTTCATTTGTCAAGGGCATTCTATTAAGAAGGTAAATTCTCATCGTGATTTCTTCTACAGAAAAAAGGGGCATTAAAGCTTGTTAAGGGATGTCACTTATCTCAGATAGTGGAATGTAATTAATGCAAGAAGAAAATTAGAGGAATAAAAAGGAAGGAGGAGAAAGCTCATTCTGCGCAAAAGAGGGGAACTAAAGCTTGATAGGATATGACACCCATCTCAAACAGTGGAATGTCTATACTACAAGAAAAAAAATAGATGAGAAGCAAAATGAAGGATGAGAAATTTCCTTCTATACTAAAGAGGGATACTGAATTTGGATAGGGGATTTCACCTAT